AAAAAAAAAAGTTATTTGATAAGGCTCATTAGAATGTAACTGATGTTCCTGAAACCTCAAGTACCACTGTAATTTAGGAGAGATTCATTATTGTGTGTTTCTGTTCTGACAGAATGCAAAGTCTGGCGAAATCCTTTAAATCTGTTCAGAGGAGCTGAATATAATCGGTAAGTGCTACGATGTTACCGTTTCAGGCATAGTCCTGAGTTAAGGATCTTAACTGTACTTTTCTGTTAATCTAACTAAGAAAAACAACTGGATACACACATGCTCATGCCAGGTTTTTCTGTCAGTTGTAAAATGTTTCTGAATGAAAAGAAATTTAAATCCATGCTCATGCTCTTGCTTCTGCAATTTTTGGTGAGCTTATAAAAAAAAATGGAAAAACCTAAGTGTGATGTACCTGGTACTGTTAATACAGTAATTCTGTTCAAGTCAGTTATAGCAAACAACCAAATTACTTATATCTAGGTTTCCTGTAGCCGTAATGGTTGAACATGTCTGTTACTGATTTGCAACATGTGCTTTCCAACATGATCCTTAGCTTAGGTTCAGCGACTGTCACTCCACACAGCACAGTGAAATGCAGCGTGTGTTGGTTAGGAGATTGACTGGCTGACCTTAGTAGGCTGTGCCTATCTCTGATGTCTAGGATTCTTTCCTAGATTCGTTTTGCCAAATGTGACCTCACTAACCAAAATGTCTCTTTGTTGGCATGTTTGCAGGTATACGTGGGTTACAGGGAGAGAACCTTTGACTTATTATGATATGAATCTTTCAGCACAGGACCACCAGACATTCTTTACATGTGACACGGATCATTTACGGCCTGCAGATGCTAGTAAGAAACCTTGTGAACAACCTTTTTTGCTAACAAAGTAATGATTGTTTTAAACCGATGCAAAAAAAAAATGCAGTCAGACATGAGTTCTCTCGGGTAAATAGTGAAAGGCAAAGATATGATCATGTCTGGAAGGCTATTGCTGTTGGATTCCTAGCATTCTAGATCTGAACAAGTATCTGTATAGGTATAAACGAATTTGTGTCACTATTCTGTTCTACTTTCTTGCTGAAGTCATTCAAAGTACCGTTTGCAAGTGTAAAGACTTGGTTTTTGCCCCCTGTTTCTAGCAGTAGCTCAAACATATATAGCTTAGTATGCCTCCAGCTGCAGTGTAGTATGTTGAGTTGCATTATCCAGGTCCCATTTAGTCTACACTGACAGAAGAGAGTGAGCTTACATAAAACTTGAGTCCTATGTTTCATTCCCTAATGTAGTTAGAAGCTCTGTAAAAAATAGAACCAGCACATTTACAACTGAATTTAATATAACCAGCTTTAGTTGTGTTAAGTCTTTGCTGTTAAGTGGAGACTGGTTCTGCTAAAAATGTACGACAGTGATTTCAATTGTCAGAATTTACTTCTGAAGAGACAAATCTGTGTCTCAGGAAAGGAGAGATACTGACAGATGTGCGCTCTGTTCTGAGACCATAATTACAAAGTAGAACATACTGTGCTTTTCTGACACACGATAAACATGAATCCTCTTTTCTGAACTTGATGGGCTCCTAATGAGGTGGTCTGATTAGCCTGGATGTTGTTTCCATTTAATATTCACCTAAAGCAACAGCACAGTAAGGAACTAGAATAATAATCCCAACTATCCTTGTAGTCTTTTGTGCCCTATGGAATCTACTACCCCAAGAGGATAAAGCTGCTTGTCACCTCTGTGTGTGACAGTGCAGATGGCATGATCTCTCAGCCAGATTTCCCCTTGAAAAAAAGTTTAATTAAATGAAAGAATAAAGCTGAGTATTTGGGACAGAAGCTCATGTTGATTACATGTCCTCTGAGTGATCACTAAGCTCTTTGAAATACTCTGGAGTGAGTCAGACTGAGAGCAATAAATTCTGTTGTTACAATGCAGTGGATTTTCCTTGTTAATGCTGTAATGACTGATATGCCCCAATTCTGCTTTGTTTATTGAATAGTAATGCAAAAAGCCTGGAGAGAAAGAAACCCCCAAGCCCGAATTTCTGCAGCACACGAAGCTTTGGAATTGAATGAGTGAGTGACAACAGCATTGACATTTATTTCCTGTCATTTAAAAATCCATTTGATGATAGCTTAAGGCGAGGGCTTTGCTACAGTAATTTTTAACCACGATTACAGGCCTGTCACAGGAAGGCCTGCAACGGGAGAAGAAAAGCCCAGCTGCATGTTGCGCTAGCCACCCAGAAGATCCTTAAGACAGTGATGACAGTAGGAGTCTTCCCATTGATGTCAGTGAGCTTTGGATCGGCACAGTGAACTGTTAATTAAGTCCCCTCCTGATGAGCATATGAAATACGCATTTATGGGATGGGGATTTCCCTTTTGGATTTCTCAGTCATCCCGAACAGAGGCAAGAAAGAAGGGACTCATAAACACCTTCTGAAATATTCATTTCATAATGTGAGAGAAAATGATGTAATTTTCTGAGACTTTCAGTCTTTGAGTCCATTATTTATTCTCTCAGTGAGAAGTGTAGTATTCTGAGATCCCACAATAGATTCAACACTGTTACGCTTTACTGGCATGACAAAATGTATGAATGTTGCCAAAGTGCATAAAGTGGAGAGAGTCCCTTAGGTTGCCCTCAGAGATTCTAGAATTCTGCATTCTAGAATTCCGTAAGGCAAGGACCTCTGGAGGTCATCTGGATCAGCCACCGCACTCAAGCAGGCGCACCTGGAGCACATTGCACAGATCTGTGTGCGGACAGCGTTTGAGTATCTCAAAGGAGAGAGACTCTGCAATCTCCCTGTGCCAAACCTCAGTCAGCATGTGCCAACCAATGCCCAAGTCAACCTCCGACAACTTGTGCCAGTGCTCAGTCAACTTCATGGTAAAAACGTGTGTCCTGATGTTCCTGTTGTTTAGTTCGTGCCCATTGCCTCTAGTCGTGTCACCGGGCACCAATGAAAAGAACTCAGCTCCATCCTCTTTTCACCCTCACGTGAGGTATTTACACGATCTGCTCTGAGCCTTCTCTTCTCCAGGCTGAACAGTCCAAGCCCTCTCAGCCTTTGTTCATATATGAGAAGCTCCAGTCCCTTAATCATCATGGCCCTTCTCTGAACTCTCTCTGGTATGTCCGTGTCCCTCTTGTACTGGGGAGCCCAGAACTGGATGCAGCACTCCAGATGTGGCCTCACCAGTGCTGAGTGGAGGGGAAGGATCACCTCCCTCAACCTGCTCGCAACACTCCTCCCAGCACAGCTCCACCGTTTGCCTTCTCTGCCACAAGGGCACACTGCTGGCTCATCTTGAACTTGGTGTCCGTCAAGTCCTTTTCTGCCAAGCTGCTTTCCAGCTGAGTGACCCACAGCAAATGCTGGTGCCTGGAATCCTGTTTTTCCCTGCATCTGTTGTTTCCTGTTCCTCAGCTGAATGCTCCTTTTGAAATGCAACTAGAGTCAGCTACAGCTAAATTCTGTTTCTCTATAAAGAAGAATCTTAGCAGCAGTGTGCTTTGTGGCGGAAAGAAGTCAACAGGCTCTATGCCATGTAACTTCAGCTGTGAAAAACGTGGCCGTCAAGTTTAAAGGAGTTGCCTGGGCTCCATCTGTAGTGAGTGAGAGAGGTGCCTCCATTCAGCAATTCGAACTATTCTTCAGGACATGTTTAAACATGTGAATGGCTTTGTGGAGATGCTTCTTGTTGGAGGTGGAGTGGCACAGATAGTTAAGAGATCTGAATTAGACAGCTGGAAGCTGGATGAGGTGACTCCCATCATGCATTTTACCTTTCTGTGTAATCCTAAAGCTGCTTTCCTGTTTTGGGGAGGTTGGGTTTGGTGGTTTGGTTTTGTTTGTTTGTTTGTTTGCTTTTTAATCTTTGCAATTAAATTTATAATCAGTCCTTTGCATATGGCAGGTGTTATAGGTCTATTGATTCTTTTAGGTCTATTGATTCTGTTCATGCCATTACAGTAATGGATACATTTTGCGTTAAAACAGTAGTGCGTGAGACTAGTTTTGTTTTCCAGAAGTTTTAGTGCTGTAGGCCATGATTGTGAGACAGTGTGTTACTTTCTGGGGCAGTTTTAGGTCAGTTGACTCCAAGTGATACAGTGCTTATAAATGAGAGTCGTGCTCTGGTTGCCAGAGTATTTATTAGCATTTCTTAGTAGTTCGTCAGAAAGATATGGGGACAAGGCTCCACTGCCTCTGTATGTGGTACCTCCATACCAGTCTGCTTATCTCTGTATAGGTTTTACCTCGTGTAACTTTCTCATGGTTTTTCCTCTGATATTTTTGCAGGTGTGCTACTGCCTATATTCTTTTGGCCGAAGAGGAAGCAACAACAATTGTAGAAGCAGAGAAGCTGTTCAAGCAAGCTCTGAAAGCTGGAGAGGGCTGTTACAGGCGCAGTCAGCAGTTACAGCACCACGGTGCCCAGTATGAAGCCCAACACAGTAAGTTTCTCTGGAGAGAATAGCCATTTCTAAAGGGAGGAAAGTTCTAGGGAATTCTTTGTGGGTTTTTTTTGGTTTGCTTGTTTGTTTTGGTTTTCCTTGTCACAACTGTATACTCAGTATTTAACACTGGCTAGAATATGGCCCTAGAGCCAGGCTATTCTGTTTCAGTGGTTTTGCTTGATTCTATTGCTGAGCTAGCAGTGCTCAGATTACAGATGCACCTTTTCTTTGTTGTGGCAGAAAACACTGTAGCATGTACTTGATAGAAAAGGAAAGGGAGCAGAGCCGGAAGAGATCTGATATTTAGAAAAGGCTGGACACTGGTTTAGGAAGTTGCATTAAAGTGCCTTTAGCCATTTTGAAAACATGGGCTCATGTTGTGAAAATGCAGTAAAGTGATGGAAACAGGAGTGAAGTGATGGTTTGCCAGCTTTTTTCCATCAGCTCTGAGGGTAAATACGTTAACACTGCATGCTCTATGTAAAAGTTAATGAGACCCATTAACCAGTGTGACATTTGAAAAGTTAGCTGCATACATTAAGAAAGGTCACAGAAACATAAAAATTAACAACTGGAGTAATGCAATGCTCTAATTGAATGTCTAGATTATTAATTTTTTTAGATTTTGAAAAAGCAGATCTAGTTGCTGTGATTATATTTATTAGATTCTTCTTAAACCTAAGAGAATACATGAGGGTTCACAACCAGTAAATGAACGAAAAGGTAAATAAAGCAGGCAGACTAGATTGTTTCTAGTCTACAATGGCTACCTCAGGCAAAAATAAGACCAATTACGTAAATGTGAGCGCTAATGTACTTTGGGCATTTTCAGGTTTTTCAGGACCTGAATTCGCAGCCTCTGGCTATCTCACATAATTTGAAGATTGCTGATAAAAATTGTATGTAGTAAAATTGTCTCTGATCTCTGGTTTCACAAGTCTGTACCTGAAAACCTGAGGTTTTATAAAGCTAGGGAGTAGTATTTTAAGCATTTGTTGGTTGTAAAATTATATTTAGGATGACTTGCTTGTTTTTGACCGGAATAAAATACAGAGCAGCTGAGCCCTTGAAGCAGTTTTCAGGCTCTAGCATGCTTATAATTTTCTGTGAAACACTAATTGGTGCACTTAATCCATCCCGAGCACAGAAAATGACAGTGATTCTTTGAAAAATACACAATAAGAGTAATTAAACACTGTCATTATGCTTATGTCCAAGTTAAGTTTGTGCAGTCAAATATAAGTATGGTATAGCTGTAACCTGTATTATGTGCCGGATGACTGCTGTCATCATCAAATTGGGTGCCCTGAACCTTCAGCATTACAGCAGAGGAAGTAACCAGTTGAATCGCAAAATTCGGTGCATCAGCACAGAGCAGGAGGGGCTGAAGAGTGACTGCCAGCTCTGACTGTGACCTCAGGAGGGGCTCGATTGTTGCACTTCTCTATATCCCCTAGTCTCCCCTTGACAATGTCAGTGTGCGCTCTCAAAAGTTAGAGAAGTCCCAGCCTCAGGTGGTGCCTTGGGCACAGGGGCTTTGAGTAGGATTCCCTTGGTTATACACTGGATTTCTGCATGATTTACAAAGGTGGAGGACTCAGCTCTCATTAGAGAGGGAGGACCATGGGCAGATGTGGTGCAGTTCCATGGTTCAGAGGTGTCCACCCTTCCATTTCTGGCCCTTGAAGTTAACTTTGAGATGAAAAGTGAGCATTTAGTCTTTTACGGGTGAAAACCATTATGTAGTTTCTTGAGCAACACTATATTTCTCTGTTTCTGTTTATTTATGTGTTCCATCTTCATAAACTATTTTATATTAGACCATGAATTTTAAGAGTAAATAATGACTCTGAGTACCCAACTTAACCTCTTTCAAAAGGTGCTAGTTTACAGAAAGTGCAGACAAGATTCTTTTTAAGGTAGCTTATATCAGTCACCCCAAATCATTAGTCCCTTCAGAAAATTTTGGCCTGAAAGGTTGCATTGATTTCGTACTAATTAAATGCCTTTTGACCATTCCTTCTGAAAAGACTGAAAAGGATCTTGGCCTGATATGTACACCTCTTAGTTACACTCTAGAAACATGTTGAAACAGATGTAACTAGTAAATTGTTTATTAAATATGTAGGAGTTGATACAACCATAAGGAATTACTTAATATAAAGTGCAGCTAAAGAAATTCCTTCCCTCCTACATTTATTTTTTCTTCTAAAGTCAGACCTTTCAACTTGCTGCTTAATGTATCTTAAAATTGTAATCATACATTTAAAACAATTTGTAGGTATTTGGAATGTTTTCAGTGCGCATCTTGTTCTTATTATAAAAGACTTAAAAATGCTAGGAACGGACTAAAATATTTACGGACTGCATGCTATACACACAGATAATTTGTAGCAGGTGTCTTATATTTTCTCAATATGGTAATTTTGTAGATGATTAGCTGTCCGCTCATATCCTCTTGGTCCAGAAGCATGTTAAGAGTTCACATTGGAATTATGGGAGAAAGAATGAGAAATGAAACGAGTGAGAATTCTCCAAGAGAATAATTATTGCAGCTGTTTAATTGCTGTCATCTTTGCTGTTAGGCCGTCTTCTAGCACATGGGACTGTCATATTTGAAACATATTAATTTGCCATCCGTAATTAGCAGTGCGAGGGATGTGAAGATGATAATTGGATGACAAGTAAAGGTTCTGTAAAGAAATAGTTCTGGATATACTTTTATCATAATCATTACGAAAAAGACTGTTAGAGGATGAGGATGTGTTTTCCTACATCTCCTATTAACAAATGCCTACATCATAAGTTACAAACAAGGCAGAATAAAACATGTGTTTTCATGGATGCCCTTTTCTTAACCATATACGTGTTTTGATAAGTAATTTAATGCTCTGCGTGTGTGACCACAGAGTTTTGTGCCAGTGTTAACTTCAGAGGGATTCTCCATGCTTCACTTGGTTACTTGATGGTCTATACACTGCAGCATTCTCTGTGCCTTCAGATCCGCTTCTATTTCGTGGGTATAAGGCCAGCCTATGGATCCTTACTTATGTCACTGTATATCTGGAGTAATTCCACTGGTTTCAGTGATGTTATGCCACATCTAAATTAACAGAACTTGATAACGTTTTATTAAATGATTATGTAAGCATTGATGATAGCAAATAACAAAAAATGGCAAGAAAGCTATGTTGCCTCTTGTGTTGCAATATTAAATTAAGCTTTGTTTTATCTTTTTTTATCTTAATGCTGTTTCTTTTTCCTCTTACGCAGGGAGGGACACCAATGTGTTAGTTTATATTAAGAGGAGGCTGGCAATGTGTGCAAGAAAGCTGGGAAGGACCAGGGAAGCAGTGAAAATGATGCGAGATGTGAGTTTGGATTTGTTTCACGTATCACACTTCAATAACAGTAGCCTAGAAATGACACACATTCGCTTACAAGGTAGCATGCGTTACTGCTGCATGCAGCACTGCTGATAGTTGTTTTATATGTGTAATATACCTAAAAATTAAGAGATTGTTCATAAGGTTGTGAAAGCAGCACTGTGAAGTCATAAAATACTAGATGGATGGCTGCCCATACAGCCTGAATTTCCCATCCTGGTACATGTGCAGTGGAGCACAGTCTTTACTTATTTGGTCCTGAAGTTACATAATGTTATTTTCTGAAGCATGTAACCAATGCCACAAACTTAGTAAACAAGTCTTAACTATTGTTTCCTCCTTGCGAAGCTGTGGTTTGGCTCTGAGCATTGTTTACGTCACAGTATTCAGACCCGGGGACAGTGTTGTTTATTCATGCAAAACCTATTACTAAGAAGTCAAAACTGAGCAATTAATCTATAATGAACTGACTTCCCTCTGAGATGGGGGTTGACTGTATCCCTGTTTTGTAGGCAGAGAGCTTCCAGTGGTAGTCTTAAGTCAGTACGCTACAGAGCTACAGATTTGAAACACCGAACAGTAGCTATTTTGGGGATGGCAGGAGGGGCAGTTCTGCACATAAGGCACTGTATGTTTCAACTATGCAAAATGCTCAAGCTTAGAGATAACTGTGAGTGCCCAGCATTTCTTCAAGTGAGATCCCCTTGATACAGATCAGAAATGCAGTCTTTGAAGATACAACTTGTCTCACCCAAAGTAGCAAAGTAGAAGGAGGAATGGACCCCTAGAGCTCCGGGCAGATGATGCTAAAACTGCTTACCAGTTTCCTGCGTTCTCCTTTCTTACACTTTGTTTTCCAGCTCCCACAAATGTGACGGCGATAAATCTGGCAAGATACAGATTCCTGCAAATTGAGATGAAGAAGCTAAATTTTAAATGCACAAAAAGGAATCCTTCACCAGAATGAAGCACCTGTAAAGTGTGCTTTTGACAGCTCAGATGAGTGATCCTGAAACCTACCTAGTGAAAATGGAAATTCTGACTGCAAGTCAGTGAGAATTTTAGCATAAAAAGCAAGTGACTTTCTCTGGAGATTAGGCACTTGCATCAGTGGCAGTAGTGCAGATATGTCTGCCAGCTTGGAATCCAGCACCCAGCATCTTCTCCTGGAACTGGGGCACTCGCGGATATTTTCTTAACACACTGAGCAGAGTTCATTGTAATAATGCAGGTCCTCATCCTAAATGATCTGTCAGACAACAAGTATTAAGTACCTTTTTTTCCTGTCTCTAGCTGGGCTTTTTCAGGCACACAGCTCTCACTCCCCAGAATTACTAGGTTCACAGACAAAGGTGTTGAAAAAGAACTTGCCAAAACCCCAGCCATTTTACAGCTAGGAGTGTGAGAAAGAAAGATGAGGAAGAAAGACCTGGTTTTGCAGTCTCGTGGTCAACTGGGAGAACATTGATTTCAAAAATGTTGTTTTCAGTCCAGCCAGCTCCTCTGATTCTTCAGAGGCGCTCTGGGATGAATACCGAAATGTTTAGGGACAAAAGTTGGAATTCTAAGTTCTGGCATTAATAGACAAGAAGGATGAAATTTTGAATTTCACATTCAAATGTCACACATCATAATTATGGCAACTTCTGGAACTTACTATGGGTTGCCAAATGTGTTTTGTGATTTGTAGATAGCGCTGTGAAGCTGCCTTCTGCTGATGTCCATCTGCATGGTTAGTTGCGTAGGCAGAGCACCAGACTCAGGGATTTGGGTGGTCTGTCCAATCCTAGGCTTCTTACACAAATCAAGACCCAGAATGCTTTGAATATAATGAACAACTTACTCTGCCACTAGAGAGATCATTGTGTGGTGTTGGAATGAAGTACAATATGGATCTTGAAAGGCAGCAGTGACAGGGAAACCCAAATTTATTGTTTGTTAGACACTTGAAGGACAGAAAATACTCTCCTCAATAGGAACGTTTTGCTAAAACGAGAGGACTAGATGCAAGCAAGCGAGGTATAAAGAGAATTTCAGCTTCTAGAGCTTCAACTCAGATCACTGCATACTGTATTTTTCCACGTATACACACTGAGCCAGACCCTCAGAACTGAATTTAGATGCCTCTAGAGCTCTTCGCTTGTGAGCAAGCAGAGCTGAGAATTAACAGGTCCCTGAACGAAATACAAAAGCACAATATCTCTAGGTCGTCACTCGAGTACACTGGGAGCAAAAGTCGGGTCCAGTCAGCTTTGCAGATGCTTTTCTTAGACTGACTTGGAGCTACTTATTTCTGATGAATGTATATCCTCCATTTCTTCATAGAAGACATAAATAATATACTTACGAAGAAGTTCGAAGAACATGAATTTGTCAGTGAAGGTTCTATGTGATTGATGAGGGAGGAGATGAATTTATTCACCGTAAAAAGAGTATGAAGAATATGTTGGCTGGGGATTGCTGGATCTAGCAACAGGGGACAGAGGGTGGAGGCCCTGTTTGTGTTTGAAAGATTGAAAACAGATTTCTCCAGACATGGAACATGATGGAAATGAAGTGTTAAGAGTTTCATGATGCCATCTGGGAAATATGATTGGGATGTAGTGAGTTTTAGCCACTTTGAAAAAATAAAATATATGTGAGCGTTTAATTCATTGCATATATGAGGCCATCTTGAGGACATTACTGATGGATTAGATGGTCTTACTTGAATTTGATGTAAGAAAAGACTAAGAACCTGCTTAAAACACTGCAATGGAAAGAAATGAGTTGTTGGTGACTTAAATAAGACTTTGATTTTATGATTGGATATACTGCTGATAGAAAAATCATATTCTTTATTATTAAATCCAAAATCTTTAGAAAATCTCTTTAAAAAGGAGTTTTATTTTTTTTAAAGGGTAGGAATTCCTGTTGCTTATGTAATTGGTTTTGAGACAGTATTTTTGTTGCTGGCTTTGCTGCTTGGATGTCGTTAATTTAGTTGAGCTGAATTAATGAAAATTATGAACCTGTAATTTTCATGGAAGCATATAATTGAATCATAGGTGTTGGTTTTGCTTGTATTTCTGTATGATAGTTATTTACTATATTTTGCTATAGAAACCAGCAGCTGTCACTATTCGTATATATTGAGTTAAACTGTGATCTCATTTTGATTAGTGCATTGTTGGAATAACTCCAGTCTAGTCAACAGAGTTATTTCACTTTATTCCTATTTATACAGAGCGTGATATGGTCTGTGAGGGAACTAGATCTCTTTTACTGTCCCTGTGGAGAAAGTCTACAGTGCTCGTTGTTTTATGTGTCGTGCTGATTATGTTAGGAGGATTTAAACTAGTTTATTCTAAATGATGTTGGAAAATGTGCAGAGGTGAAAAGCCTTAGTGGTGGCTGTGGGGAATTTTCAGTAATCCTTCATGCTGCATCTTTATTGTGGACAGTGTGGCAAGCTAAGTAGCTCCATGCTGGTGAGCAAGGGTAGCTTCTTGTACCAGCTGTTGTCTGTCAGGTCTTTGCAGATTCTCCCACTGTTACAGTGGAAGAGATGGAGCGTGCAGGGTTTGTGTTTCATGGTTTTCACTAATTAAAAGCAAAGAGGATGTGGAAGGTATGCAAAGGCACTTCCCTCTGTGGGCGACTGGACCAGTGACAGTGCTACTGAATTCGGGATAGTGTTTGCCTTAACTGGGTCGCTGGAGTGTCCAGGTGAAAACTGTACCTTGTGAGAAAGTAATTCAAGCTTCTTGGGATTGTTCTAGAGAACATCTGGACTGTGGAACAAGATTTCATCAAAGGGTGATGATGTATGTTTAAGAAGAGGAAGGTAGTGGGCAGATGGCATGCAAAAGTAAACTAAGTGAACAGAAACTCTTAATTTTTTCCTCTTTCAGAGAGAAGATGAAAGAAACCCATTCTGGAGTGTCTTTATCTCCTACCCCATGGCCTTACACTCCTGTGAGACCACTTTGTAGTCTTAACAAGTATATATTTCGGAGACACTATGGAATTGCAGCTTGGCTCGTGCTTTGCAACTTTGTTAAAGAAATGAGTTTAGGGACAGAGGAGACTCTCCAGGTTTCTCCTCATCTCTGGAGAAATATAGAAACCAAACGACTTTTTAAGCATCAAAAAGTACATTTTTCTTCTGGGATCAGTCATATCTGTTGAGAAATTGTTCTTCATATCACTGTAAAGGACCTAAAAGTCTACCTGTGCATACCTATCTATGTACCTTGCTGAGGATATTTCAGCTGGATATGTTTATGTGTTATTCCCACTTGCGCTCTCTAAATGCTTATTTTATGCTACAGGAGACACTAAGGAATTATCAGTACCGAGGCAGCTTGTATTGTTTGAGTGCTGCAGGCTTATCAGTGGGCTGTGTGATGAGTTGTTTAAGTGCTCGGGTTGCCCTGAGTGTTTAAAATGGTTAAAGAGGTTATATCAGTGGAAGGCTTCAAAAAGTTACCCAACTATACTAAATCAATTTTAATGATATGGGTAAGTTGGATTTTTATCTTTTTACGACCAATGACATTACTGTTTTTTACTAGTACAACGGTTCTGCAAATCTAGCATACTTTCTTGACTGCCTTTTTTGCTGGGCTTTGAATAAGGTTTTCTGCTCGATATTCTCTTGAATTCTGCGTTCTTGTGTGCGTTGCTGATTTGCTCTTGGATAATGGGGATACATAGCTGGGACAGTGTTCTATGCCTTGAATTGTCAGGATGTGTGAAACAAAAAGACTACTAATTGCTAATAAGGATGTTCTGATCCCTGGCAACTTAACAACGTGATTTCTGCAGTTACTTGCATGGACAGCTACTGTCTGTCTCTCCCAAATACTTCTGTGCTTGAGGCAAGGATTAGTGAGTCAGATTCTTTGGCTTGTGTTACACAGGTCAGGTTAAGGAGGCTGCTCTGCCTTGAGCTTTGTTAACATCTGTAGCAGTTAGTTAAAATACCATTTATTAACACTGGA